AATTTTAGTCCCACTACATCTGAGGAAATGTGCATTCAGTAAATTATCAGTGAATTAATTTCTAAAAAATATTTTTCAGGAAAAAAATATACCCCCCCCAAAAGGATTTTGTATACTATTAAAAATAAATCGAGAAGTGAGTCTATAGTAATGTAAATATCATAATCTTTTCAGTTTATGTGTTCAGTTGCAATGGTCTTTGTATTTCTGAGGTTCCAGGAAGATATTATCTTTTTTCAAATTTAATTAATCAATTAATGATATAATAAATACTATGATCTATAATAAAACACCACATAACTTTAGAGAAGCTATGTTCTAGAATTATTGTATCTGAAAATAAATTCAGAGTTAACATGGAATGCTGTATTTTGTTATAGTCTTTCAGAGAATATTAAATTAACAACTTAAACTATTCCTGAATTTAGATAATTCAAAATAAGTTTAGTTCTTTCAAATCCTGGCCTATTTCTTGTTTAATCATTTCTAGGTTGTGATGTATTCAGATCCCTCAAAATGACCTAGAGTGTTCATGAGACTTCCAGGTTCATAAAGACTCACATTTCAATATCTCCAAATTCTTTGTTTAGCTCTGTTCAGATTCTCTTCTTCTCCAAGATTACTTTGAGAATCGTGGCAATACCAGGCTTACCTCTGAATTTGCCTTCTCTTCTCAATTTTATTATCATAAATCATAATTTTCTGGGTAGCATTCCAATGCCTTCTATAAAATTTTCAATATATATTTATCCTTTGCCCCTACATGTTTACAGAACAACTCTTCACCTCCAAATGTAAGAAACAGAGTCTAAATTGATTTAATTCTTAAAAAAGAATTTTACAAGATGATTCAATTTAATTTTAAATCTGTGAGCAAGGTTTCATTTACAATCATTGAAGTTCTATCTTTTTGCTTCCCTGATAATTACAATATTTCGAACTTTTAAAATAGTTGTACAATTTAAAATAGTTTTGTAATATGGAAGAAATGCCTGAAAATTTTATGATAGATAGTAATTCTAATTGTTATGAGAAAATGATAATACTGAGTTTCTACTATATGCGAAGAGTAAAGCTACTAGTTCCAGTTATATGCTTCTTCTGATGGTATAATCATAGTTCATTAGAAACAAAACAGTGACAAAATAAGTAATCAAAATATCAGCTGCCTTAGAGATTAACCAGAATTTATGCTCAAATAAAATAATTATTTATAATTGTAGTAACAATTTCTCAGGGAGTATTCCTATTATTAAATTGTAATGAAGGGGCAAATTATGCAAGCTTTTCAAGTGAAAAATCGTTCACAAAACATTCAATATTCTTGTTTTTGAATCATTGCAAATTATTCATCACTCTTTTTATAATTTCAACTCCCTGTCAGGGCAAGTTAAAAACAACAGTAATTATTATGACAACAACAGTAACATGTAAATAGTTTTTTAAAAGAATATGAAAAATCTGACTTTTATTTTACTGTCTACAAAGTATAACCAGAAAAGAGGAGAAAAAGCAATGCTCATTTAGTTCTTTATAACTTTTTACTAGTCAAAATTTCAAGAAATTTTGCTAGGCGACTATTTTACGTAACTATTACCTGGTACTAAACGGTAGAGCTCACCACCATTTTACTGATGAAGAAACTTATTCGCTACATTAAAATACAGTTTCAGAGCAGTTGAAAATTTAAAGTCCAGGGTCTTAAACTCTTGAAGATGATTCTAGAGCCTGTCTTCTCTTCTGCTATGAAGTTATTTTCTAGCGATCATAACAAATATTCATCTTTCCTTTAGGAAATCGTCTTCCTTGAAGAAATTTACTTTGTTAATGTTTCCATTTATTAGATATAGCTTTCTTTTATTATATAAATAGTTGAATTCCAAAAATCTTATTCAATCTAAATTTTACGTTTAGCTTTTGATTATTTCAGAATCATTTCATTTTATTTTTTCTCTTAATATGGTCAAATACATTACTTTTTTATTTTAATTAACTTTTAAATGGCAGGCAGGTGGCCTTCCTGCTTAGGATAAACAAATATAACTAGATTCCACATGGTAAGCAAGGGAGAATGATGGCACTACCATTCAGTTGTTTTTATAGCAGGTCTTGATAAACACCCACATTTTGTTTTGAACCCTTCAAAACACCAAACCCAGGCCCACAGTATTAAAATCTCTACTGGATAATAACAGTGGTGCTTTGCTCACATCTCATATAGATCAATTTCTTTGTCGGGAATCACATATTCTAAAATCTATAACATTTACTATCCATGCTTTCTATCCCATGTTCTTGCCTTGGTATACCAGAAGACTCAGATCACACCTGGGCTTAGATAATTCGTGGAAGGTTTTTTTGGGTTGAGGTAGCTCGGGTAAAGTCAGAAAAGGATGGAGTGGAAAGGTTTTCCCCTGAAGTCGGGCTGTTCAGCAGCCTGGGCTCTCTTCCGACTGCTTGCAGCAGCTAAACCTCACAGCATTCTACTTGTCATGGTCGGTGGCCTGCCAGGGTGCCGGTGCCGGTGCCCCTCGATGTGTTCCTCTCTATGTCCAGATACCTGTCCTGTGTGTTCCTCCGCTGATGTGCTCCTGTCGACATCCAGCTGCCTGTGTATCTGTCTGCTAGGGTCTCCGGGGTTTTTATAGGCATAGAATGGGGACGTGGTAGGCCAGGGTGGTCTTGAGAAATGCAGCATTTGGGCATGAAGGCAGGAGTGCCTGTCCTCGCCTAGGTCTGTGGGGTGGAGCCCTAGCCAGGGACCACAGCCTTCCTCCCTTCCATATCATTTAGAGGGACCACACCCTTCTCCACCCAGCACTTCCATATCAATATTTTAAAATAAAAGTGAAGGTATCCATCTCCTTGAAGTTATTCAAAACAGCTCTAATCAATCATTAGATAACGAATTATATATGCCATTAGGAATTGGCAAATATGTAAAGTATTTATGACTCATAACATGGTGCCTAATTTTGAGGGTCTCATAGCTCAGCGGTGAGTACAAACGTATAACTAGAACACAATAGACCGTGATACAGAGATTACAATTCATAAGACACTCTTTTTTTTTTTTAAAGCTTCCAGCAAAGTGTCAACATTTTGTTAGTCTATGAAGACTGATTTTAAAGTTGACAGTGTATGTGACTTGTTTAAAAAAAAAGACTTCTTTTAAAAGCAGAGTTTCATTAAGCTGGTTTTTCTTTTAAAAACAAAATAGAACAAAACAAAACAAAAACTACACTTACCAGATTCAACGCAGCTAAAAGTTTTATCTGGAGCAAGATTTTGATAGAGAATGTTTAAAAAGGATAAAAACTTAAATTGAAAAGATCTAAAAGAAGGGAAAACAATGAATTAAGCAAAACTAATATACAACAGTTAAAAAAATTAACAAATAAACAAACCAAACCATCACCATCAACAATGACAAAAGCAATAAAAAGCTCTGTTATAAGATCTAATCACTGCTAATAATCCAGCTACTCAAGATTCCCAGCATTCATAGCAATTCTAATTTTATCCAATATGTTATGCAAAATCTCGCCTGTTCTTAGGCAATGCTGCATATTTCTATCCCCCTCAATATCTGTGTTACAATTTCTCATGCATATTGCATCTGCTACTGTAGTACAACTCTTCTGCCCAGTGTGTGGTAACTGAGGTTTTAGAATTCCAGTTAGAAAGAAATGCCCTCTGCTTGAGATACAAGCTTGGAAAAAATTTCCTTCTTGCAGAGTTTCATGCCCAATTCTCTGCAGAAAAATTAAAAACCTCACTAGCTGCAGCCGTACATCAGCCACAGTAGACTATTTTAAGACATAGAGGACTCATGTTCTATGTGATGAAGTTGAAAGAACTTCCTAGTGAGAAGCAAGAAACTCAGGCTTTTGTACTGTTCTGACAGTGGCTCACTATTCAGACACTTCTTTGGAACATACTTTTCTGGTCTACAAATAAAATAATAAATGAATTTTACTGCAGAATATTTGCAATTCAGGAATACTTACAGATAAATACGTAGATTGACAGATAGATGATAGACACAGATAACACACAGGTTTATACACAAAGATATACATAAGATATAGATGAAAATAGGTACAGATATATTTTCCAGAAAAACAATTTATATTATCACCTGAATAGCACATTTTCTTCAAACCTATGATTAGAACACACCTACATTTGCAAAATGTGTAACTTTAGATAAATACTGTCAATGATGGAAGCTCTAATTTTTACACAAGCTAAATAGAAACCATAACATTACTTTCCTAATTTTGAACAGCAAATAAACAAATATTTAGAATTTATTTAGTACACCACCTCCTTCCTAATTATATTTCAACACATGGTTAATAATAATAGTAAAAACAGTATTTTTTAAAGTCTAGGCCAAATTATCATCTTCTTTATTACAAGGTACAATTGGAAATTAAAAAGTAATTTGAGTATCACTTAAACTAAATAATTATTTATCTACTGTGTTTGAATATTTGTGTTCTAACTTTACTTTCTAAGCGATTCATCATTTCAAGTCGGCACAGTAATTCCCAACTGATACTATCTTCCTTTTCTTCCTCTCAGATGTAATTGACTTTGATGTACCCTCTTCTAGAGACTCATCTGGCCTATTTTTCATATTGAAACTTTTATTAATAACAAAATGGACAAGTTAGATTTCCTCCAAATATGCCTCCCTGATTTTTGAAAGGCTTATTGTTTTATTTTGCCTACCAAAATTATTATTTTATCCTCCCCTCATTTTACTTGAGCTTCTCTGCCTGGCCTATTGACTTTCTGAGATGAACTGCTTTTCAATGTAAAAGTTGACAGGGCTTTGGCTTATATATTTACGAATATGGCAGAAGATGGTTATAGAAGCTTTTGGAGGGATGCTTAGTCTGATCATTTGTAATACACCAATGAGAGAAATGTTAGGTAGAAAACACAGAGTACTTAACATTCCATATTGATCTTCTCAAAGCATTTTCTCTGAGAAATATGGTATTATTAAGACTGAGCAGATAAGTTTTCTTTTGAGTATTGAATGTGATCACTTATTTCCATAACAATAAAGCTAATATTTTCTCAATGACCCTTCTTTTCTTTAACATCCCATATCTTACTACCTAAATTACATGTCTAATATATATATGGAATTTCTTCATTTTTAATATCGTTTTTATCTGACATTTAACCTTTGGCCTTATGATGAAGGCAGTATCTTTCATCATCATTCTTTCTATACTTCTCTCACCAACTTGAATTTTTCGGTAATGCCAGTTAGATCTGTTTTCTTAGTAGCACTGTGTCTCTTTGAAATGTCTGCATGACATCTTCATATTTTGCTTTTTTATACATAGATAAAATTTAGTGGCCAGTTTGCATTTTCATTTTTATATTTTCTATGATTATATTTGTGAGAACTCTGAAGATTTGTTCAAAGTTACAAATGCAGATATCGTAAAGACAACAAGAGTGCAAGCGTTTCATTAATATTATGTTCATACCATACACTTTCAAATGTCCTAGCTTATAAAGTTTCTCTACCAGTGTACTACATATCTTTAAAATCTATATAATTTTTCTTTTTATAAAAATTAAATAGGGATCTTACTATGTCACCCAAGCTGGGCTCAATCTCCTTCTTTCAAGCAATCCTTTTGCCTCAGCTTCTCAAAGTGCTGAGATTACAGGCAGGAGCCACATTCCCCAGCCTATTTTATTTTAAAAAAATGAGTAGCTATGTACAGTATGTATTGCTTATGTAGTCCGAGAAATGTATTAACCATTTATGAGCATGTCTTCTGTTTTTCTTCATAAATAACAGTGTGAGAATATGGAACCTTGTTTTGCAAGCGAAATGAGGCTGACATTGGTTGAGAAGTTTCCTTAACAATTCAAAGTGCCTTAAAAATAGAATTGAAATTAGAGCTTAGACAATATGAAGCCTGAATGCACATTATAAACTACCATGTCTATGATCTCCTTGGTGATGCTACCATGAAATACACAGGGCTTTGAACAGAGTGAAATAAACGAAACACTTGCCTCAGGCACAAAACGTAAGACCGTGCCACAAATCTCAGTAATCAAGATTAAAAGATATTTCAATTCAATATGTTTATAATCAATTTTAATTTTCAAAATGAAAATTTTAAAATCTAATTTTAATTGAAGACTGGCAGATTAGTCATTATTCCTTTTGCCTCAGGTTCGCATGTGGCTTGACATGGAGCTATACACTCATCTCAGATTTATTCAACATTTGAATATCTGTTCATCATAGATTTTTGCATTAATTTTGAGTTTTCAAAAAAACGTTACATCACACTATTTTATTATTCAGTGTGGACAGTCACCCTAAATTAGCACTTTCTCAGTTCACTTTAAGTCTAGCTTTTCCACATGACTTGCTTTAGCCAATAAAATATAAACAGGATTTATATGGTTTGGGTTTGCATCTCCACCCAAATCTCATGATGAATTGTAATCCCAGGTGTTGGAGGAGAGAATTGGCTGGAGGTGATTGGAACATGGGGGCATATTTCCCCCTTGTTCTCACCATAGTGAGTGAGGTCTCACAATAGTGAGTGAGGTCTCACGAGATCTGGTTTAAAAGTGTGTAACATCTTCCCCTTCACTCTCTTCCTCCTGCTCCGGACATGTAAGACATGCCTGTTTCCCCTTCCACCGTAACTGAAACTTTCCTGAGGCTTTCCTAGATATGTCTCCTGTACAGACTGCAGAACCTTGTACCAATTAAACTTCTTTTCTTTATAATTTTCCAAGTTTCAGGTATTCCGCTATAGCAGTGTGAGAACAGGCTAATACAGGGATAAATATGTGACACATGTTGAAAACCTTGACGAGTTGGTTCACAATTTGCTGCATTCTCTTCCATTCACTTTACAGATGGTAGAGGCTTTGTCAGGCTGTTACCAGATTAGGATGAGGTAGTATAGAGCTTGAGGTCAACCTGCAATAGTCAGTAAACTAGAATTAAATTGTTTTGATTTTGAATCTCTGTGATTTGGATCTTTATTGTTACTGTAGCATAACCTAGACTATTTTCACTTATATAATCCTTCAGCAAATTGAAATATTTGCTAAATGAGACTTCCTGTAATATTATTCCTGATTTCCCATTGGAAACTGCAAGCTAAACGAATCTCTCATCCCCTGTGTGTTTGATGTTTCATTACCCAATCTCAATCTTTTCTGTAGCATTCTGTAATTCTATATTATCCCAGTTTATGACTCTCTGTCTACAAAAATTTAATGTTAAGCTTAACAGGCTTATTTCTTAATAGCCATCAAGATAAATTATAAACTTCATTCAAATTGGCCCTACAGCAATAACTGGAGTTGACCTTTTGGATTCACTGGTTGAAGCAAATAGAAGAGAACACAGAGCTCTGTGTTTTCCGTGCTTTATGATCAAGGAAATCCTTGATGAGATGCTTGGAACCTTGAACTACTTGATGATTCCCAAAATGGATGAGTTATTAATGAGTGTCAAAATAGTTCTTATTAATGCAATTTTAATGTCAAATGATGACTGAATATTTGGCTTTTTATCAGCATAAATTCAACTGAGGGTCTCTCCCAGGGATGTTTCACATACTTTTTCAGGTTGTCAGGTTGCTGCAGCCATATTAATTTTCTGTTATTTGCCTTGGAAAAGACTTGGAGTTTTGGAAGTTTAAGAGAGCAGAATCTCTCTCTTAATAAACCTTATATAACTGACTTCGTGGATTAAATTTTCAGACAAAAAGCATGATGCATTAAAATTATACATCTAGGCAGCAGGATTTCAGGACACCCACTTACTACTTCTTTACCAACAGTCAATAGCGAAAGTTGTGTGTATTTTGCTATTTATTTTACTGAATTAAATTGATTGTATTATCAACTATGTAAAATAATAAAAAGTATATGTAAAAATACATTTGTCTTTTTATATTTTAAAGGTTTAAAAATGACTCAACAATAAATATCCTCAAACAATTGTTTTTCAATTTATTATTTGAGAAATAAAAATATTAAAGAAAATATGAAACAGCAAGGATTCTGCACTGAGATTATGAAGAATATCTTAAAATTTTATTTACACTTTAACACCAAAATGCTGTGTTGTGGGTGTGATTTATGAAAGAACAAATATAAAAAAGTTCTTTGCAACACACAAATTTTTGAATTAATGCACATGTATATATTTTAAAGTATAAGGATAATTTAAAATATAAAATATAAGGATAAGTTGTGGGTATATCATTTTCATAGGTTATCATTTTAAAGGAACTTTTCCATTAACCTATACTATATAAGTTCTAATGGCATTCAATAAAAGGGTTTCTAGCGTATAATTTTTTTTGAAGTAGAGCACATTTTACAGATGATCTATTCTTACTATCGTCACTCCCGCTTTTTTATTATTATTTTAAGGAATTTATTATCAAAATAGTTGAACGGCTTGAAAAAAATAGCATAGTAACTTAGTGCCAAAAAGGACTGGTAAACGTCTTCAGATTTCTAGTCTAGATATTATTTATACTTAAGGTGGTTTTCTACTTTTTCCCCCTCTTTTAATTGCATTGACAAAAACAAACAAAAAGCAAGCATTTTCTTCCTTGGTATACAAACTCTACTTTCTTATTCAGTTTGTCCTAAAAGGAGAACCTCGGAGAAAGATTTGTGTGCATGTAGTTTGTTTAGAGGTGATCTCAGGAAATACAAGAGAAGAAGCAGAAATGGGAGGTGGGGAGCTAGATAAATAAAGTGTGCCGATGAGTGGATTGCTGTTGTGAATTTTTTGGGAGCAAATCTTTTAGGGATATTCTGAAAAATCGAGTGGTTCTTATTTAGAATATTCTCATTTTAAGATGAGAAGATTGGGAGATGTATCCACTTTCTCGTGCTTCTCATTGGCTGATGGTTGCCCTTAGAAAATCACCTCTCTTAGATTTCCAAGTTGCACTTCTTCACCACTAATTACTTTGTTTCCTGAGAAAACAGACACATGCCATAATGAACCTGGTGCTGTCTGCTTTCCAGAATAGGCATACGACACCTATTTATATGTGAACTCAGAGGTGGGCTGAAATGACACAGAGCATTGCATCAACATTATCTGCTACAATTACATGATACACACCAATAAGTGGGTCAACACTCTATTTGCCAGAAGATAGGCATCTGAAATTCTTTATTATTTGTTTTTTTTATAAAAATTCATTTATAAACTATGCCTGACTCATTTTTCTCATTATAATTATGGACAGCCATATTCTTAAAATCAACTATGTTATTTTAACTCTTACATACTATTTTGTTTAAAATGATTACTGAATTGTTTCCATCCTATGAGTAATTTATTTGTTACCCTGGTAGGCAACATAAGCTCTTGAAGAGTCAATATTCCTCAAGTTTTGTGTATATAACTGTGCTGGTAGAGTTTTGTTTTAATAGTAAATACATAACTGTCACAGAATTATAAAACACATTTGGATCTTTCCCAAGATGCTTTGCAGCTTGTCATTCTACCCTTGAACTATAGTTTGCATTGCTTATACGCAGATTATTGTGTAGAACACAAACTAATGTTTGGTCAGTGGTTTTACTGATCTGTTCTTTTATACACAACTTCCTATCTCAAATTCTTCATTTTCTTCTGTTTTTCTTTGGAGATTCTATTACCACTTTGGTATAAAAACCCTGGGACCCTTTTTGACCTTCGTTAAACCAGCACCAATAGACTAGGCAGGAAACACAGACAAGTGGCAACCTTTCAAGAAGACACACTCTTAATAATGTTTAAAGCAAAACCTGAAAGTTCTAGATGGGAAAATCGAATATACATACAATGCCCCGAAATCATTATTATATTCTTATTGTTGCATTTGTTTGTTTGTTTTCTCCTTTTATTCCAGGCTTAAATTTTATGAAAAGCTGTGGCACAACTGAAATAATTAATAAATAGTTGATCATCTTTTTAAGTATTTTCCACTTCATTAAAGTAGAAGTGCACATTTCAACTTGAGGTCAGGTCAAAATAAATCTAGTTCTTAAATCCAAAACCGGAGTAAAACTTTGTGTTTACACAGTGGTTAAAAATAACACTATGACTCAAAACTTGATATACAAAGTTACAGCAGTGACAGCTGAGTGATTTCTAGCTTTTCTATTGCCATTGTATGTTAAGAGGTAGGAACCTTCGGGCTTTATTGGATTTCTATTGATTGATAGCTTACATTTTACAAATTTTGCTAAGATTTTTTTTAAAATTTTCATTACTTGTGAGTATACATTAGTAGTTATTTTATGGAAACAGAGAGGTTTCTCTTTTATTAGTTTTGGTTCCAGCTATAATCCTAATTTGATTCAGAAAAGCAGGAAGCCGTCACTGTAATAATAAGCGTGGTATGTAATGTTCATTTGAGACAATATTATAGACAATATCAAGCTTCAGACGCTGTAATTCGTCTCCAGGCAACGTCTTCTCTTCAGCACAGTAGCAGTTTTCAGATTACAAAATTCTGATTTTGCTAAATTTAGTTCATCCAGAGTTAATGTACTATGTGTTTTTACACTATTACTCATGTAAGTAATTATCGGTAATACAAATAAATAGCCACTAAAAGAATAGTTCATTTTCTTCTTATGTTTTAGTAAGTGGTTTCACTTTCTTTTATAATTTATACCTTGCAAGTTCAATTGAAGCATTAAATGTTCAATTCCATCAGAGTAAACACTTGAATTATAAGCAAATAGAAAACACAATATCAAGCAATTGGCTGTAACGGCAGAAACGAGCACATGCTTTGCCTCATGGTGATAAAATTTAGGAGCTAGAAGGAAGTCTCTCCTATTACAAGCGAAGAAATTTAGGCCTAGGCATATTAAGTGACTTAATTTAGAATATGTAAAGATTAAGTCTTAGATTGGGACTAAAATTTATATTTTAGCCATGAAACTTCATGTTTATTTTAGTATTTTCAAAAATAAAATAGGTAACTAGATGTCTATAAATGCACCCTTAATGGCTACACAATGTTTCAAATAAAAGATTATTTATTTTGTGACTCACAGCTCTCTTACATGCTACACTATAATTTCCAAACTACTGTCTTCTGATTAAGTGCATGTCTTTACCAATAATTTTTTCACTTCATTAATTATCTGTTTAGGTGTACTTAAAATAGTCTTTTGAATTTTAATTGTATTTAGTGATTACTTTAAAAATTTCTGAAATTCTGAAATTGTAGTTAGATTCTATATTTTTATTTTGTTGTTCTCCATTCAAATTCTCTAAATGTTTTTTTTTTTTTTTTTTTTTTTTTTT